AACCACGAGGCAGGTGGGAGGGTGAGTGCTTCACTCCCAGGAACACTCTGTGCCCCTCTGCTCAGGCATCTCTCCGGGCCCCATGGCTGGTCCAGCCCGTGCAGCTGTTGGACCAGATGGTGCCACAGCCAGCTCCCTGGCAGGCAGACATTCCAACTTCAGTCTTTGTTCGTCAGCAGTTCTGCTGTCGGTCTGGACTTCACTCAGTGTTATTTTATACATCCAAACTTAGATCCAAACTGCTACATTTCTAGGAAGTCTAATCTATCCCGCAATCCAATTCTACAATTATGAAAATACTGATGATTTCTTCAAGTGCTGCCTAATGAGTGTGATGCTGATATCTGAACCAGTAAAGCTTTTGGAATTGTCTTTGATTCAGAAGATGAGATAAAGATATTTTTTTTCTGATTACACAATCATCTTAAAGACACTTATGACAAACCTTCCTCATTCGAATTTTCTATCTCAAGTGTAACCTTCATACCCAAACGTGTTGCTCTTATAGAGCAAGAAAAATGAAGACCGTGAAGACATGCAAATTGCTATGGATAGAATGTGAAGGGTTAAACAGCCTACAAAATGCTACACACATCTCATGCAATAGTAATTTTTAGAAACACTCATATTGAACCTAAGATTTGAAGCAGACACTCCAAATTGATTATAATTGTGTTCAGGCATAGATGCTAAAATGTTTTATCTTTTTCACATTTTATAACATGGTTGTACATTATGCTACTAGAGACTCAATAAAAACTTCTTAGAAGCATTGATTTAAAAGATTGCTCTGTGCTGTGAGTGGGAAGCTGTGATGGTGTAGGGACTGAGTCAACACAACTCCCACCAGAGTGTGTGGGCGCCACATGCTTTCTTGGCTGACAGGTGTTCTGAATCTGTTCTTTCAGAAGGCACTGTAGTTCTTACCTTGTCTATACTGCTCTTCAAGTTTAACTCAAGCTGCTTGCAATCCACTGTCAGTTTATCTAAGGGCCCTTTGGTTTGCAAAATGACCCTAGGATGGCAAAAATGTTTCCGTAGAATATTGAAAAAGTCTAAAAGCAACTGATAAAGAGAGATGCTTGGGGTTGAAATGTGAAGCCCCAGAAACACATGAAGTCCCAGGCCCAAGCTTCTACCGTGCCAATTCTCCCTTCCTGGGAAGCAGTCTGTGCAGAAGGGATCAAGTTGAATGCAGCCATACTGGCTCGGTTGGCCCTAATCCAATGACCCTGTCTTTGCAAGAGAGAACTTCAGATTCATGGGAGAGTAAACCACATGCAGGTTAGAGGCAGAGTTTACAGCCAAGTGTCCACACATGACCAAGAACTGCCGGGAACCACCAGCAGCTGACCGAAGCGAGGAAGGATCACTTCCCTAGACCTTGGAGGTGGCACAGCCTTGCCATGGCCTTAATTCAGCCTCCACGAACAAGAGAGAGGGTTTGTGTGGTTTTTTTTTTTCCCCCTAAAGGTTCAAACCATCCAGTTCATGGCACTTTGCCACCAAAGCCTTAGGAAGTGAATGTAGGATAGGATGCTAACTTCATTCATGCTGGAAAAAGTATGAAATGAAGACATGTTCTAATAGGATACAGTCCCATCTTAGGAAATGTGAGAATCTTAATAAGGCAGGTTACCACAGCAGCTTGTCTTTGATGTTTGTACCATTTTGTATGAGAACTACTGCATCAGCTTCTGAGATCACAGTCTCTGGTCATAAGTCTGACCAATCTGGTCACACTGCAGCCGAGTGGCTTCACAACATTAGATCCTCCTGCTTACAACCCTCAGAGAATCCCATGGCTCCACAGAATATTCAAATTCCTCTGCTGGCCTCTCCAACTGGCCTGCTGCCACTCCCTGAATCACAGTGCAGCGTCTTCCTCCTTCTGAGGTCCCCCCTGCTCAGTGGAGTCCAGGTCAAACGCCAGATCCCAGCAAGCCACACACCGGGCCCCAGCGCCGAGCCATCGCGGTTCACTGCAGCTGCAGTGTTCTGCCGGCACCGAGAGGCAGCAGGTGGGTGTCTCCTGCGAAGCCTACATCCCATAGCCAAGTGTCTGCTTCAAGTCCAGGCTGATTTGCTTCCAATTTACCTTCCAGCTACTCTGGGGAGGCAGCAGGTCATGGCAGCAAGTGAGTGCTCAGGTGCCTGCCAGGCACACAGGAGGAGACCTGGATGGAACTCCTGGCTTTGGTGGGCATTTGGGGAATAACCAGGCAACAAAAGACCCCCCTCCCTCTCCAGTAAACACACACACACATTTATTATAGATGCTGAATCACAGCTCCAAGATCAATGCATTTCAACACGGTGGCACTGGTGGATTTTTTTTTAAGATTTATTTGTTTTTATCAGAAAGGGAGCTTTACAGAGAGACATAAAGACAGAGAGACAGATCTTCCATCTGCTAGTTCACTCCCCAAGTGGTTGCCAGAGCTATGCTGATCAGGAGCCGAGAGCCAGGAGCTTCTTCCAGGTTTCCCACCCAGGCCCAAGGACTTGAGTCATCTTCCACTGCTTTCCCGGGCCACAAGCAGGGAGTTGGATGGGAAGTGGAGCAACCAGGGCATGTACTGGCACCCATAAGGGATGTCAGTGCTTACAGGTGGAGGATTAGCTTGTGACACCACTGTGCTGGCCCCTTCTGAAGTGATTCTTATGCACCATACGTTAGTGAGGCACCTCCTCTCCACTATGAGGGGCCACAGAGGTGGGGGGCATTATTCTTTGAAAGCCTAACACAATGTCTCAAAGTAGATATCTAATTGATGCAAGCACCAGATGAATTTCCTGTTAACCAACATGCTATAACAGCTACGTCAAGTCCCCTGTTATTGTAATAAGCAAAATCAAATGTACAGCCTGTGCATTTCTTTTTTCCTTTTAAAAATTTTTAAAAAGACTTATTTATTTGTTTGAAAGGCAGAGTTATAGATAGAGGCAAAATGAGAGAGAGAGAGAAAGAGAGAACTGGTCGCAATGGCTAGAGCTAAGTTGACCTGAAGCCACAGCTGCTTCGGGTCTCCCGTGTGAATACAGGGCCCAAGCACTTGGCCCACCACGTGCTACTTTCCCAAGCAGATTAGCAGGGAGAGAGTTGGATCAGAAGTGGAACAGCTGGGACTTGAACTGGTGCCCGTAAGGGATGCAAGGGATGCACATGGAGGTTCAGCTTGCTACACCACGAGATAACCCCTCAGCCTATTTCATTAGACCTCCTCTAAACACCTCATCTATTTTAAGATTCAGCTGTCAAATTCCATCTTATTCATGAAATACATGAATGATTGTTAATAATCATGCTTTTAAAAAAATCATGCTTTTTTTTTTAAAGTAACACACACAAAAAAAACCACTCTAAATGATGACATAAATATGGGCAGATTTGACCTAAAGTTTTATCTGGTGATAGTTTTAAATTCTGTCCTACTTACCAGCCCTTCCTTCTTTCCACACACAGATACTAGGGGACTCTGTTTCAAAACGGTTTTTCCCCCATTATTTTGTCAGCTTCAAAGGCTAAAATATGCCCATGTTTATATTTCATACCTGCCAAACATTAAACGGTACACTCCTTGTCTAGAGATACACAACTAGAAAAGACTTTTCACACTGTGCTTCTAACTCCCTTCATTGAAAGGCCTGAAATTAAAAACAAACAAAGCGTGGCCCAGCTGACTTTGCCCCATTTCTGGAGCCCCGGACCTTCTCCCTCTTCTCTTCACTCCTTGTTTATCCCTACAAGACAAATTTGCAACTCCCTCAAGGGCACAACGTGCCTGTAAAACTTGTATCCTGTGAGGATCAACAGCTTTGCTGTTGATGCGAAAGAACAGAAACACACACCCTGGGTAGATACACTATGTTGCAATTTGCTGTTGTTGTTCCATCTCAAGGTACACGCTGTGAACAGAAGTTCTATCTCGTGCTATCAGGAAGCGAAAGCTGTTCCTTAGCTAAGAACCCAGGAAGTCAGAAAGAACCTCGAGAGCTTGGGGTTATCAGATTCAAGTCAAAAGGTTTCAGCGGATCTCTGCTGCGCTCCTGGTCACGGGATGCTAACACCCGCATTCCATTCCCTAACGTCTGTCTCCCAAAGGAACGTTTAAACTCAAGAGTGGGTTAATGCTGAATAGGCTTTGTGTTTGTGCGGGGTCAGGTCGTAAACACTTTTATAATTTGTGTCATCTGTATGATTTAAGATAAACTAGCTCAAACGTGGGGGAGGGGGGCGGTTGGGGCGGGCAGGTAACGTAAATGAGAAAAGCCAACAGCAGCGAGGGAGGGTTGTGCGCTGGGAAGCAGGTGGCTGGCTCCTAGCACACAGGCCTTCACTGCACTGTCCCAGCCCGTCAGATCTAAAAACTTTGCAAGAGACATAACAAACCCAGGTTTCTTACGCAATCTCTCAGCTTTTCAATGCTGGTAACCCACTCAAATGTCCACAAGAGATTCTGCAGGCAAACAGCTTGTCCCAAACCCAAGCGCACGTTAATTAGCAAGGTTAACAGAAAACCACGCACCCCACGAGTTCTCACCCCCTGTGGGGCTGGGACCGGAAGGCGCACTGCTCCCCTCCGATGAAAACTTGTGCGATTCACTTTATCTCTGGGAAGCTCAGCTTCTGAAGTGGCAAACTGGCCTAGAGGGTAAGGACGCCAGCTTCCCGGGGTCGCTAGGCGGACGGAACGAGAGCCTGCAGCTCCTACGAAGCGGCCCTAACACCTGTCTGTTCTTCCCAAGACACGTCTTTTTCGTTTGAACAACGTCGAGCACGCCGGCGCAGATTCAGTTCTGGGTGTTTCTCGGCCTCAGTTTCCAAACCCTGGCTCGGCTGTCGGGGTCGGCGGAGCGCGCTTCGCTTTCCGCGCCCAGGAGCACGCACCGCGCGGGGTGTGGACAGAGGCGGGGACAGGGGCGGGCCTGGACTCAGGTGTCGTTACGTCACGGGGGCCCGGGGAGTCCCTATAAGACCTCGCCGGTGCCGGAAGCGCTCCAGTGGCGGCAGGGTTCGGGGACGTCGGGCCTCTCTTTGCTCTCTCTCCACACCTCCACATCTGCAAGCGCTCGATCGGGAAAAGCAAACAAACAAACGAAAAAAACCTTCCCGGCCCTCGCCGCGAGCTGCGCGGCGATCCCTTTGATAATGCGTAAAAGTCGGGAGCGAACGCCAGCAGGTACGGACCTGGTGCCACCCGCCGACACCAGACGGGGCGGGTCGGGGCCGAGGTCCGGGTCGAGGCGGGGTCGCTCCGTCTAAGCCCCGGCTCCGACGGCCAAGGGCTCCCCTGCTGGGGCCGGGTTGGCGCCTGGGTGTGCGCCTCCTGGACGCGTCCAGGACAATGCGCAGGGGGGTTTCCCGGGACGGTGGCGACGGCGCGGGAGCTGGTTAAGCTAGGGCTTGGGGTGCGCTTGCATTTCAGCTGGGGCAAAGGTTAGTTCTTCTCCCTGCATGCGCTTTCCCGCGACCACGGCAGGGACACTGCGAGGAAGGAAGCTGTCGAGAGAAAGAGGCGCAGTCACAAGTACGGGTGGGGGTCGGGGGCACGGCTTCCAGCGTCGGACCCTCGGCCTCCGGGGGCGACTCTGGGAGTCAGTCATTCATGCTCCAACCTGCCCTATCCTGCTTCACCTCCCTGCCATGCACAGGGCTGATGGAAACCTTCCAGGGACCTGGTGAGGACTCGTGAACTTAGCAGCCCAGATGTTGTGTTAGTTCAGAGGATAACGGTGTACCTAACTATATTGTGGGGGGTGGATGGGGATTGTGTGGGCCCACGTGATTTTCAGGCATGCCCCCGCTCCCTGCACACACACCTCCCTCACCTACAATGTCATCACTTTCCGGGTTAGCCCTCCTGCTCCGCTCTTTATCCCCCCCCCATCCTATCACAGGTGCCTGCTGACCTTTGAGGGGTTCGCCAAAGAAGGCGGTGAGGTTCAGGGCTGGAAATCTGTGCTGCTGTTACATCAGCCGCTGAGCCCCGTCTCCTGTCCTTCCCCTTTGTGCAGCCCACGGGGGACGGGGTGCGCATCCTAGGAAGCGGTTAGGAAGGTGGGCCTGGCTGCACACGTTGGCATCAGGCTGCTGTCTCTGTCCGACACAGTTTTATGCACCTGATGCAGTGTGCAGAGCTCGGACCTGTTTCTTAGATGTCTAATCTGTGCAGGCGTTCTCAGATTCACCTTCCTTCCTGAGAGCAGAGAGCAGAAGAGCACCCACTCTGAACTTGATAACATAGTAAATCCATTTATAAATATAATTCAACTAAAACTTGAAAAAAACAGTAAGTGGTTACTGTTTTGTACCTATTATTATTATTATTATTTTGCTTGAGAGAGTGTTTCCTGATAGTACTTCCAAAATTCATATGCTAAGTAGTGTATTTTGCAGACTGTTAACAGAATGTAATTACTTCTTTTTATTTATTATTATTTTTTTTATTGGAAAGACGGATATACAGAGAGGAGGAGAGACAGAGAGGAAGATCTTCCTTCCGATGGTTCACTCCCCAAATGGCCGCAACGGCTGCACCTGAGCCAATCCAAAGGCAGGAGCCAGGAACCTCTTCTGGGTCTCCTACGTCGGTGCAGGGTCCCAAAGATTTGGGCCATACTCGACCGCTTTCCCAGGCCACAAGCAGAGAGCTGGATGGGAAATGGAGCTGCTGGGATTAGAACTGGCACCCATATGGGATCCTGGGCGTGTAAGGCAAGGACTTTAACCACTATGTTATCGTGCTGGGCCCATGTAATTGCTTCTTTAAGATGCCTCACCCTGTATCCCACAAAGAATGGCATGCTAATTTATTACAATCTTCAGTGGTTAGGATCGGTTTAACTCCATTCTTGTGGAAAGAGAAATTAGTTTCAAAACTTAACCATATATTCATAGTTTTTGTTTGAGCATAAGTAGGATCTTTGCAGTGTCCTATGAAATGGACAAGTTGATGATTTTTGATGTCCACACAGTCATGATCTTGAAGTGGATGAGAAGACCCTGAGTAATTTGCCATTTCTGGAAAATAAAGATCAGTGCAGACTCATTTACTGAAAAAGTATGCCAGGAAATTAGGTTATCGTCATCTTTAATACAGTTAATTATGGTGCTTAAACCAGAAAGTTGCAAACAGCTGAATGAAACAGAACTGTTCTCCACACAACCAATGGTTAGTGGAGGCTGGATTTGTAGGAAGAGGTTGGTTTTGAATTAATGTAAATTTAGAGCGTGTGGACTCAGTTTTGGAATACAATTTTATAGCTCTTTTATAAGAAATGCCAAAAAGTTTTCATGAGGAAGAGAGTAGATGTGCCTTTTGGCTCACGCAGCCTCGTTCTTAGCCTCATTGTTTTGTTTGCTTTGCTTTTTGAGCCCGTGCTGGCAGGTGTGTGTTCCGAGTAGCATTTCACTGAGAAAACAAGTGCACAGGAAATTGAAGTTGGGATGCCTCTGGGGTGTTTAACTTGTCACTGGATGCACCGCTTAGAGCCGTCGTCAGTAACCATCTGGGACACTGGCAAAGCTCACCTCAACGTTTGCTCTCCCTTTAGAGCTGAAAGTCGCGTATGCTGTTCAGCCCGAGAGACCTGGTCTTCAAGATCCGGTGTCCGCGGAGTTTGCAGCTGTCTCGTTTGCGGAGATGCCTGGGAAGAAGGCGCAGAAGAATACCCAGCCGAAGCCGGCACTCCCGTTGTCAGGGCCGGCACTCCCGCTGTCAGGTAACACGGGCTACGCCCGCCCCACGCCCCCGCACCCCGAGATTCAGCCTGTGGCAGCTGTGGTGGCTCAAGGCCAGGTGTAACAAGCTTGTTGGAGGTTCAAGGTTGGGCCGGGTTTGAGCCCTGTCTGGAGCCTTAAGGATGACTCCAGGAAGCTGGTTCTCCAGGAGTTCCCGGAAGGAAGGAAGGCATAGAGACTGGGATTGGAAAGCTAATGTGCTTTGGCTCGGGCAACACGTTAATTCTCTGCATTTGCCCTTTGCTGGAGCTGTGGGAGGCCAAGTGCAGGTCGAAGCCCTCACTTCCCTGACCCCCACGGGAGGGGGAGGGGAGGGGACTTTCCAGAGACTTCCTTGGACAAAAGGCCTGGTGCGGCAGAGGGAATACAGGGAGGACGTTGTAACCACAGGTGGGGATGGTGAGTGGGGGTTGGTTCCCGGTGTTTTCATCCTTTTCCCTCCCCCAAAATTACTCCAACAGTTTTCAGGTTAGACCTCCCGGCCCCGCCACCACAATCTCCCTCTTTAGAAATCCCATCAGAGACAGCAGTCAGCTGTGTGGGACGCAGAGCTGCGTTTGGAATCTGGGGGGAGGGGAGCCATGCTGCTGTAACAGCAGTCAGTCTCTGGAGCCCGGTTCACCAGCAAGGGCAGTAAAGCACTGCTGAGGCCATCTTGTTGGACGCTGGCTGGAGCTCTGAGAGCTCAAACCTTTACACAGCACTCAACTCCCACTTTTTTTTCTGTCTCTGAGAATGCAGCAGAAAGTCAATAAACTTGATTACATATTAATCCATTTATAGATGTGCAATGACTAATACAAAAATTAAGGATACTGGGCCTGGTGTGATAGCCTAGTGGCTAAATTCTTCCCTTGCATGCCCTCGAGCCCATGTGCACCGGTTTGTATTCGGCTGCCCCACTTGCCTTCCAGGCCTCTGTCTGTGGTCTGGGAAAGCAGTCAAGGATGGCCCAAAGCCTTGGGATCCTGTACCTGCATGGGAGACCTGGAAGAAGCTCTTGGCTCCTGGCTTTGGATCGGCTCAGTTCCAGCCGTTGCAGCCACTTCGGGGAGTGAACCAGTGGGTGGAAGATCTTTTTCTCCCCTCTTTCCGTCTCTCTGTAAATCTGACCTTCCAAGAAAAATAAATCTTTTTTTTTTGAAGCACTAAAAAAAAAAAAGTGAAGGAAACAGCTGAGAGTTCTTTTCCATTTTTGAAGGGGGGTGGTGGGGAAAGTCCCTTATGAAATCTGGGACTTTCACAGCTGCTGGCTGCTGTAACAGCTGTGCGACCTCCGCAGACGGCAAAGCCAGAGCCTCACCGTCTCGTCACATGGATGGGTGGGCGCAATGCACTCTTAGCGGTGCTTCTGTCAATTTGGATATTTTGCCTTTTAGAGCTGGAAGTCCGATGTGCCATTCAACTCAGGAAAATTGGAGACGAACTGAATTTTCGGCAGAAACTTCTGAACCTGATTTTTACGTTCTTGAACCTAGTTACCTGACATGCTCCCTGGTGCTTTTGCCGGGGAGGGAGTCGTGAGGTTTTGTCGTTTTTGTTGTTGTTTTTGTTGTTGTTGTTTTCCAAATGCCATTTCCCTGTTGGGTACACCATTGGCCACTGCAGAGACTGCGCAATCGTTTGAGAAGACTGTGAAAGATCACCCGCTTTTTCAGACGTCGCTGGGAAAAGAGATGGAATGTGTGTGAGAAACGGTTTTGGGTAGGCAGTGAGCAGAAATCGTTTTGGGGGACATGAAAACCTGAAACCGCACACGGAAAGAAGAATGGAGCAGCTTGGAAGGCACGATTCATCACAAGCGCGTTGTTCCTGGGCTTCGGCTGCAGGTGCTGCGCAGCCCGGTGTGAGAAGAGCTGACAGCGGAACTGGTCAGCGAAGAGTTGGCTTTTCTGGGACAATTCAGGGCGATGTATTATACAGTTGGGGTTTATATGTTATCTTGATGTCAAGGAAAATTTCCTTCTGTGAACACTGATCATCGCAGTGAATGCTGACCGATCACTGCCAAAGGTAACGTCAGTCAGTATCTGTTCCTTCTCACTTCACTCGTGTTGTTTCTGTTCAGTTGGCTTTTAATGAAATGCACTGCTCTGGGGATTAACTGGAAAGTATGGAAAACTGGGAAATCATCAAGAACAAAGCGGAATAGAGATTCAGAAGGATTGCCTGCGAGTGGCAGGAGAGCTCCTATAGTTTGAATATGATAAATATGATTAAATGTAAAATTATACGGGCATTTCTATAACCAGGGATTATAGAAACAGGACTGGACTCTAGCTGGTGGAATTAAGCTTAGTACAACACTCAGTTGCTAGGAAAATCTGTAAAATACATTTTACATTGGCCAGGGTGCGTACTGTGAAAACCGGCCTTTAAGGAGAAACTAGGACAATTTGCATCGTTCCAGTGTACTTTTCTATAAAAGGGACCAGTGTGGTGGCACAGTGCGTTAACCTGTCGCCCGGGACGCCGACATCCCCTTTGGGTGCTGGTTCAAGTCCCAGCTGCTCCATTTCCAATCTCGTTCCTAGCCAGTGTGCAAACGAGTGTTCTCAGGTCAGGGACTCAGCTGAAGTTCCAGGTTTCTGGCTTCTGACTGGTCCAGCCCCAGTTTTGTCAAGATTGATCAAACAGACAGCAACAAGATGCTTCACGAAGAAATTATTTTATTAAAACTGTACTGCAGCCATCATCTATGCTGTTAGGATGACACACTTTTGTCTTAAGAATGCATAGACTTTTATTTTCCAAAAAACCAGAGTGACAAAGCTCTTGTTACAAAGGTTAGAATATGCAAGCTGAACAAACATAAGGAGATAGCCTCGGGGTTAGGTGGCCTTCTTCGAGGGCCCACAGGAAGGAGAAACAGCACTGCGACATGAGTGCTCCAAGAGAAACCATCACACAGACCATGCGAGGCTCCTTCCCTTGTTTTTCTTAAGATTTTCTATCTCTTTCTCTGTGTCTGTGTCCTTTCTAGCACTCTTTCAGATAAATAAATACATCTTTAAAATATATAAAAGGGAAATTATATTTCTCATCTAAAGTGGAAAGCTCAGATAGAGGTCTTTCTTCAAAGATAGAAAATGCGTATTTGAAAAAAGTATGCATGGTTTTAAAATTATTTTGCACCAGAATAAACTTTTATTTCCATTTTTCTATTGCATATACTATACGCATATAGCATATATATATAGTATATATACATATTTATACATATATACACTGGTATATGTGTATATACCCTGGTATATACACAAACATAAATGGATATCTGTATTGATTGTTTGCCTTAGAACATTAGGTGGATTCTCAGACGGATTTCTTGAGTGTTTTTTTTTTTCTCAGGGCTATGAACAGAAACTGATTAGCAAGGCAACAATCGTTGAACATGGGAATATGACTTGAACAGGCATTTCTCAAAAGAAGACATACAAATAATGGACAGGTATAGGGAAATGTTCAGTGTCTCCTACCAGACTACAAGTTAAAATCACAATGAGATACTGTCTTATCTGTTAAAAGCTGACGGGCCACTGTTCCGGCAGGCCGAGAGAGGACGGAAGATAGCCCAGTGCCTGGGCTTCTGAGTTCCAAGATCCTGGGCCAGTCCCAGCTTGTGTGGCCTTTTGAGGAGTAAATCAGTAGATGGAAAATTCTCTGTTTTGCTCTTTTTTCCTATTCTCTAAATTCTGCCATTCATAGAAATACATACATCTTTAAAAAGATGGAATTTGACAGAAGATTATAGAGAAAAAGGAAACTGCACGTGTGTATAGTTTTATTGTAAATTAGTATGGCCATTGTGAGATACAGTATACAACTAAAAACTAAAAATAGGAATACTCTTTCTTTGGCCATTTCACCAGTAGGTGTAAATGCAAAGAAATTGCTAACAGTGTGTGGAAGAAGTGTCTGGGTTTCCAAGTCCACTGCAGCATTATTTACAGTAAGCAAACAAGATAATACCTTGAAGGTAGGTGTTCACTGAGGGACGCACAGATAAATACAATGTAGGGTGTGTCTCCAATGGAATACTGTTTGATGTTAAAAAAGCAAACAGTAACTTGTATCATAGATGTCAGAATCTTGGCATAGATGGACAGTGTGCAGCTTTATGGATCCATTCTGACGTCGGACTCATAATATGAATACATAGGATACTTGTTGCTAGAGGTTGGGGTGGGAAAAGGGAAATGAAAATCGAAAGGCACGGAGTTATAGGGTGATTGGCTTTGGTGTTCCATCGCACAACAAGTTGACTGTAGTTGAATGTTTGTTTCAGAGCCACTCCAAGGTATTTTTAACTGTTCTTGCCATTAAGATGATAAATATTTGAAGTGATAAGGTAATTACTGATTTTATATTGTCATGATACATACATTTGTTGAATATCACATTGTATTCCATACATGTGTATATACACATGTAAAATTGTCCATTACAAATAAAATTAAGTCCTGGGTCCTTGAGCCTGCCTGTGCAGTGGGCTTCGGGTCCTTGAACCCTGTGGGTAGGGGATCCAGTGGAGCCTGGGTTGACTGGCTTGGGTCCGCGGCCCACCTGCAAGAAATGGTCCTCCTCAGTGGAAAAGACAGACTAGTGGACAGCTGGCCTAGATCTGTATGGAGGATAAGGCAGCCCATCGAGGCCTGCAGAGGACATCCGTACCATCCCACAGGAAGGAGGCCAGAACAAATTGGACAACTACCCCAGCCAACAACAGATACCTGGGCAAGTAGAAACTCTAAGGTCAGCTATGTCAGCCTGATCAACTATGTTAACATCATCTAAAATAGAATAAAATTAATAAAATTTAAAAAAAACCTTATAGAAACATTATGAATGAATCCTGGAATAATCTTATTTATTTTGCTTATTTATGATTAAGATATATGTTTCATGGGAAAATGAGTATAATGAGTTATGAGAGCAGTTTTCTGGCCACTTGCAATGTCAACAGTACAAATGTCAGTGTAGGCTAGAGTTACTTTAGATAGAAAATTATCTCAGTATCTTTTCTCTCAGCATTATTAAAGGATGTTTAACTTCATTATAAGAAATTATTGGACCTGGTGCGATAGATTGGTGGCTAAATTCTCACCTTGTATGCTCTGGTTTGTGTCCCAGCTGCTCCACTTCCCATCCAACTCCCTGCCTGTGGCCTGGGAAAGCAGTGGAGGACGGCCCAAAGCCTTGGGACCCTGCACCCGTGTGGGAGACCCGGAGGAAGTTCTTGCATCCTGGGTTTGAATCAGCTTAGCTCCGGCCGTTGCAGCTGCTTGGGGAAGTGAACCAGCACACACAATATCTTTCTGCATCTCCTTCGCTGTATCTCTTCTTTTCCAATAAAAATAAATAAATGTTAAAAAAGAAAAGGAATTTATTTTCTGCCTAGATATATAACTTTGCTGAGACAGAATTTTGCCTATAGAATTTTGCCACAGATAGAACTTTGCCTCGAGACAGAATTTTGCCCGAAGTTTGTCTTAGAGACAGAATTTTGCCTAGGTAGTGCTTTGCTTAAGGATAGAATTTTGCCTTAAATGGAATTGTACCCACATGACAGACTTTTGCCTGTAGACTTTTCCCCTTATGTTAGTTATGGTCTGTAACTGTATTTGTATGTACATATGCAAAAGTTGATACTGTAGCAATAAACTGTTGAAAACTATCACCATTCTCCGTGTTTACTTTCTTTTTCACCATGTCAGTGACAACGCGTTCATTATCAACCCATCATTTGAGTCGCCAGGTGATCTTTCACCACGTCCCATGTCCAAGTTAGGGGTAGGAAACACTGGAGCATTTGGCATGATTTTTGTTGTCAAGAGACTTTTTCATTGGGAAGGGAAATGGTGAGAAATGGGAAGTTAAGCTCAGCAGAGGTCTGGAGGGCAGGTGGGAGGTCTCCATGAGCGCCCTGGGGGCACTTCTCTAAGGAGGCTCCAGACTCCAGCTCTGAATGGGAAGCAGTGAGCTTGCTCCCTGGACTGTGCTTGGGTATATTTGCCAGGCCAGAAGAGCTGCTGGAAGTGGCCCTCAAGGAACCTCTCTTTTCCCTTTGTCCCTAGCCCCAAATAGTAAGAATTGCTTCTCGCTAAGCCAGTCCTGTGCAGAAGCAGGCATAACCCGGTGGCCTTCCTGTTTCAGTGTGGGAACTGCAAGACTGTGGCTGAATCTAGGAGCCGTGTCTGTACTCCACCCTTTCTCGCAGAAGCAGTGGGCTGACATCGGTCTAGGCTGAAGAGGGAAGAAGTTACAGGAAGAAGAGAAGACACAGCCAAAGGTTACTGGGCGGTGCCACGGTTGGGCATATCGCAGTTGTCAGAGCTGGCGGTTGCTTCGGAGAGCCTGGGGTAAGTTGGCATGATCTGATTTGAAGGACTCTGGAAGTCCAGCTCCTGCGCCTCACTCAGCATGGCCAGACGGACCCCTTGCACTCTAAGCAGTGACGCATGGAGGCAGAGGCACAGATGTCTCTAGGATCAGAAATGAGGACTGTTTTTGAGAACTATGTTTCAATGTTAAGATTCTCAAGGCGTCCACCCACGTGATTGTATCTGTTGACCTCCAAACAATCTTCATTTGCATTGTAAAAATTCTATTTTTGAATTTTTTTATTGGAAAGGCAGATATATGGGAAGAAGGAGAGACACAGAGAAAGATCTTCCATCCATTGGTTCACACCCGAAATGCCTGCAGTGGCCTGAGCTGAGCTGATCCGAAGCCAGGAGCCAGGAGTTTCTTCCGGGTCTCCCACATGGGTGCAGGGTCCCAAGGCCCTGGGTTGTCCTCTAGCTGCATTTGTATTTTAAAGGAAGCATTGATCGTTTATCTCTCAATGTACTTCTTTCTCAATGAATGAAATATGTGGTTCTCCAGTCGAAGAGTCTTGAGTGTTATGATTTAGGTTTTAGAACCACTTGCAATGACGTTTCGATCCTGCTCCCTCCCAGCTCTGGGTAGGCCCAGCGTCACTGGTGAAAATTCTGCTGATTCTTCATTTCTTTGTCAGAATTCAATCTTTCAGGAAGATAGATGACTAACCCCTTGAGCATAGAATGCTGACTGGGAGTGATGTGGGGCAAAGAGGTTGGGATCCTGAAGCTAAAGACTTTAAACCCCTTCTGAGCGGCTGACAAGTTGGCTCAATTAGCTAATTCTCCACCTCCAGGTGCCTGCATCCTATGTGAGTGCCAATTCATGTCCTGGCTGCTCTACTTCCCATCCAGCTCCCTGCTTGTGGCCTGGGAAAGCAGTAGAGGATGACCCAAGTCCTTGGGACCCTGCACCTAGGAGGGGGACTCAGAGGAGGCTCCTGGCTCCTGTGGATGCAGCTCGGAGCATTGAGACCATTTGGGGAGTGAACCATCAGATGAAAAGATCTTTCCCTCTGTCTCTCCTTTTTTCTGGAAATCTGTCTTTCAATTAAAAGTGAAACAAACAGCAAAAACAGCAACAAAGCTGAACTGTGTAACCTTCACAAAGACAACCGTTGAGCTGGAACTACTCTGAAATCTAGAGTTCCTGGTCATCTAAGGGTTCTTGGGGTTTGCAAGGGGGGGTAACGAAGCGGTGTGAGGGTCGTCTTCCAGTGCAGTTCGTGTCCTGGGAGTCTTGTTTCTGTCCTTGGTTCACACGGTGTGAGAGGATAGTAAAGGGTTTACACAAAGAAACAGGGAGTGGGATTTAAAAAGAAAAAATAATTTACCCCCTAATGTTGAGACTGATGGATTCTATGTATTAGAATGGGCGGGGACTTCTCAGATATGGAACCATTTCCTTGGAAATGAGCATTCCTGGGTGCGTGCGGGCCTTCCTGGCTGAGCTGTGCCTGTCGGAATCGTTGACCTGCAGCTGAAATGACATGGGGTCAGCTGACAGCACACGCCCTACCGCGTGATTCCTTGACTATTCCCAAGTAGTAAGTCATGATCAAAGAGCCAAACCTTTGTTAATGCAATCAGGCACTCACTTTGGCTTCGAAGAATGTTGGGAAGTCAGTTCAGTAAGTTCAGGCTTAGGCCTTTACACGCAATTTCTTCTCTATGATGTTTCCCCTGGAATAGAATGTTATTCTAACTTCCAGAGAAATGGGGAGTTGTTGGGGCTTCTAGAGCGCAGTTGTGATTTCTTTACTGGGTAAATAATTAACCACAGACTTCTCCCTCCTTCCCCCAGGTCCCAAGAGACACACAGTATTAACGCCGTGATTCCCCCTGCCCTGTGACAAGGGCCTGGCCTTGGGCTCGTATTCCATCAGAGAGCAGAATGGTACTAACTGTGTTTTTGGAAAAGGTTTTTCTTCTCTTTGTCCTGCCCCCGGCTGGATCTCTAACAGAGACAAGACATCTGGCCACTCTAGCATCCTGTCTGCTCCCGGTTAATTTCAAATCCACAAGCTCCCCACTCCACACTCACCATCGCCTCTAGCTTTGGAAACTGTCATTTTGCCACTTACTTTTTGGTTGGCTCCGAATACTTTTCTCTGCTACGGTGCTGTTATAGAAAGACATATCTCTTTCAAATCAGGAAAATAGAAAGATGAGAATGTGTAATGTCAGTTAACTTGCCCTGCAAGAGAAAGGGCTAGAGAATAGCTTTTCTACAAAGCTTCAGGAGGCTCTTTCCAAATTAGAATGATTGGACTAGAACAGGACTGTCTCGGGGAGGGTGACAAGGCCGTGGCAGAGCTGAGGGCAGTGACAGCTTTCCCCTGCAGGCGACCAGCGCTCCTAATTTGTCAGCTGTTACTGATAGTCTGTTGTTTATCTTTACCCTGTGTGAAACTGGCTTTTCAGGTTCATATGGAAATGCCGACACTGAGCTGCAACACACCTAAATACAGAGAAAGTTGCTGTCGGATAGTTTGGGATTCAGGCAAGGGCAGATTTGGGTGATGCAGGTTTTCAGAAGAAGGACTTAAAGGTTTTTTTTTCTCTGAAAGGTGAAAATTGAGAGTTGGGACAAGTGTCAAGTACTGGCTGCTTCCTGCAGGCCACAGTAGTTCCTAGTTCATTCACGGGGACTCGCTGAGACTTTACTCCTAAGCACACAGTTCCCACAAGACGAGCCTTATCTACGGCAACCTGTGACGTCAGGTGCTTTAGAGAGAGGGCTGCCCGGGACACTCATGGTGGGGAGGCCTGGTGATCTTTCTCATCGCACAGTTGGGGAGGCAGCATCTGGAAAGGATTAGCCACTTCCCCGACTGGGAAATGAACAGAAGACGCGAGAGTTTAACTTGGGCCTTGTGGATCTCACACTATATTCTCTTGCTAGGGCAGTGCAGCTCCCTGGGAGCCAGGCTCCCTACCGCCGTGTGAGCACCTGCCTTGTCCTCCAGCCTTGGGCTTCTTCAAGCACTGCCCTGTCCTCAGCCCTGGATATCCTGAGGGTAGAAAGCTGATGGTTAGGCCAACTGATGGATGCAAAAAAAAAAGTTGAAAAAGGCTGCGAAAGGTGGCACTAGCTCACATCTTTTCAGCTGTAGGGGTTTTCCAATCTCTAGCAATAGGAGTTGTGGGCCCTCAGGAAGGGGGTCTCGTGTTATTCCCAGAAACCAGAGGGAGCTAGCCAGAGAAGTTAACCTATCAGGCCAGCCTCTCAGGAGTGAGTGATGGAGGATGCAGTTAACTGGGAGACTATCCACCTGCTTGCTATCTATCAGCTGCAACCCAAACAGCACCTACGGGGACAGACCTACAGGAGCTGTGTGTCATGAGGAAAGTAAGGGAGCGAGTAAATGAAGTCTAAACAGCCGTTTGAGCTCTCTGTCTTCTCCCTGTCAGAGCCAGCCCTACATCTAGGCACATGTTATGTAGGGAAAAGAACCTGCTGCCATCATTAAAAAAAAAAAAAAAGGCAGTAAAATCATATAAACGAGCCAGTCTGGATTTTGATGACTCATTTTGTGGCACGGCTCCAGGGTGGCTGTGTTCTGAAACCCTCTGGCTGACAAAGGTCGCCGTCAGAGCTCCAAGGTGTGTGATCTTGAGCGGACACAGGTGGTTCTCAGTTGATCAGAAAGTGTTGCCCTTCCTCACTCAGAGAAAGAAAGCTGACCCGGGCAGCACTGTATCAAACCAGCCAACGGGGTGAGACCAGGGTTCCTGCACGCGTCTGCTGAGAAATTGATTATTAGTAGCACATTAAAAGCAACTCTCTGCGAATTAGCCCAAACCTTTCATTTGCAAAACACAGTTATAGAAGCACCAAAGGAAGCTGTGCTTCTACTTTTCAGATGACGCCCCAGCTGACATGGAAGCCAGGGAGGAAGTTCCCTTGGGGCTCTGGAAAGTACCCAGCCCACATGAGAGAGCCGGGCTTCTCTTCATACTTTAAACAACTTTGAACAAGGAAGAACTCAGAAATAAGGCATGCACCCCATCCCTGTTAGAATAAGCTGGCTGAGTGGGAATGGACACAGATCTGTGGAGTAACACACTCTGCCATGGATTTCACTCAGAATCTTCTCACAGTTCCATTGGGATTCTCTGAGCGCAGGTGGGTCGTGGACATCAAGCCTTGTCATGTACATATATGTAAGGTTTTCCCCTGGAATTTTACTATTTCTACTTGATTTGAATGGCAGCGTGCAGGCGGCAGAGTAAGAGATCTGTCAGTCTGCTGGTTTATTCCCTAACTGCCTACAACCGGCAGGGCCAGGCGAGGCAGAGGCCAGGAGCCAAGCGTTTCACCTAGGTCTCCCTCATGGGTGCAGGCACCCAAGCACCTGGGCCATCATCTCTGCCTGCCAGGGGGTGTACTAGTAGGATGCTGTGTGCAAAGCAGTTGGCCAGGACTCCAGGATGAAATGCGGACACCCAAGCAACAACTCAGTGGCTATACCACATGTCTGTAGGGCGGCTGTTTATTGTTTGCTTCTTAAATAATCCTAATGTGCATGGAGCTGTCCCAGTTTGGAAATGGAAAGTTCCACATATAGGAAAGGTTGGCAGTCCTGGGCAAGGTGGGATATTGGCCTGTGCCTTAGGTTGCCATCGAAATCCACCATTGTCTCCCTGCCTCTACCCTGTTGACCCACGTGTAAGAAGGTGACAATCCTAACTCCTCAGCATCGTTCCTATTACAACTTACATTGGGGCTCAAAGCTCTCACTCCGGCATAGTTCTTAGTTCAGGGCCTGGCAGTAAGCCCCCAGCTGACAGACATGATCAAGAGTTGGCAAAGGCCAAATGTCGTCGGGGGGCTGCTGGGATTGTGAAGCACTGGCTTGTCCAGGTGGGCCAGCAGATAGAAGACACGACAGTGCTGGCCAAGGGCCGGAGTCAGCAGTGCCAAACCAGCAAAGCGGTCATTGAAAAGCAGGTCAGGAGAGATCACTTGCTTTTATTTCTGATGAAGAAGTGCTTTGCTTTCGTTGTAAGCAGGGGGGTCTTCAAACTATGTTGTGGAGATCAAGAGCCCCAGCTGGGCCAGAGAGCCGCCCCCCCTTCACTCGCCCTGGCTAGGTTTACATCCTGGTTCTGGTATTCCCATATGCAAGAATGTAACTCGGGGGAGGGGAGCGTGGGGAGACATGGACGCAGCAACATGATTTATTCCAAGATGAAAAGATGCACTGAGACGTGAGTGTGGGCAACTTCAAGAGAGAGCACTGCCAGGAAAAGCGATAGTATCAACC